CCCGCCCTGCAAGCAGTATGCCAGTTGGATATCTTTCATTTTCAATTTCAGCAAACAGGGTCAGATTCTAACAAGACAATGGAAGGGTTTTATTTGATATTCCTAATCTAGATTGGACTGAACTGTATCACGACAAACTCACCTCGAAGCAAGCACTGACTGATCTGAGATACACAAGTGGTCTACGTCAGATACTGACTTTACTCCATGTTGTTTGTTCGCTGCAGCAAGCTGTTAGATATTTGAAACGAACGGCTCCAAGACAACTTTTGCCATCACTTCCTTGACGGTGTGACAGTAAGCCATCTCTCGGTCGAAGCTCAACATGTTGAGCAAGAGTGTTGAGCACTTACGGATGCACTAGCCCTTTAAAAAAAGCCAAAAAAAAATAAATGGAATCACAATATCATTTCGAATGTGTTGAACTAAAAGGAGCCTGTTGTATATTTTTCCTTGTTGATGTCTATCAGGACTTGACTAGCTGCTAATCATTTGAGCTGACGAAAACGGTACAATGTAAGGTTCACCTCTACCCTTTTAATAGTTGCTGATATCCCTAACCAAGTTGCTCGTCTATCCTGTCAACCGTAAGGGCCACTTCCCTCACGAATCGTTGAGATGGCAGAACATGCCCGCTACGGCCAAATTTCTGTTTCCTGAGGTTTCCAGTAGGCTTGTTCACTTACATATAGAGGGAGAAGACTTTTCACCACAGTTGTTCTAGCGGCATATGACGAGTTTACGATTCTGATTATTTTAAACATCCAACATTTGCATTCGATCAGGCAGTTGATGACGGGGTTCGAGGTGTTGCTTTTGTGGATTGAACCTTCACAATAAAGTCATTTTCAGGTACCTGTACGATTGAATATCCTCCCACAGAGTTGCTGAAAACGGTAAAGGATAAAAGAATAATGTTTCGGCACCAACCTTTTATTAGGATGCACCCCCTCATTCGGCTTCCACTATTAATCGTGGTAACTTTTCGAATGCGAACTTCATGACTTGTGGTAGCCAGCCGATATACAAATTAGTAATTTTATCCTCCACATAAGGATGGCAAGAATTATTTAGGCTTTGTAGGACGGAAGGTTCGGTTGGCCTAGAGAAGTACCGATGGAAGGATTGAGCTCTGGCCCATGGGTGTGTGGCAATGCTCTAGTTCAAACTGCATGAGTTCCTCCATCAGAATGGGGAAAATAAGTACTGGTGAGTCAAGAAGATCAAGAAGATGAATCACGTGGTTGTACAACTCAGAAGCTTCTTCGTCGCCCCAACCAACCTGAATGCCTTGGCGAGATGAGAATTTTCCTCCACATGTGCTATTGAAACAGGATAGCTTCGAATTCCACTGATTGACACTGTAGCACATCTCGACTTTACACGAGAAAGAAAAAATACCAGCAGTCGCAAAAACTAGTCATTCTTTTATACTGCCCGAACATTTAATAAGGTTAATGTTTCACGGTGATGCTTCCTTGATAAAAAGCAGTGACTTGTACATCGGTTGGACACCGCGAAAGCTATTTTGTGGCCTGACTTCTTCTTCTTCTTCTTCTTCTTCTCCTTCTTCTTCTTCTTTTTCTTCTTCTTCTGCTCCCTAGCGTTAATCCCGCTCCGTCGCATGGTCCGCTAATTCTGTGGCCTAGCACGCATTTGAAACGTCACTACTACGAGTATTTAGGGCGTGCCGTGTACGTGGCAACAAAGCAGTTGTCCTGGAGAACCGCCCCTTCTACTGATTTTAGCGCAGGATCGCTTCGGCTGCTCAGCTACAGGCATAAAAGTTTCTGAGAATTTCCAGGGGGCGACGAAGAAGCTTCTGAGTTGTACAACCACGTGATTCATCTTCTTGATCTTCTTGACTCACCAGTACTTATTTTCCCCATTCTGATGGCGGAACTCATGCAGTTTAAACTAGAGCATTGCCACACACCCATGGGCCAGAACTCAATCCTTCCATCGGTACTTCTTTAGGCCAACCGAACCTTCCGTCCTACAAAGCCTAAATAATTCGTGCCATCCTTATGTGGAGGATAAAATTACTAATTTGTATATCGGCTGGCTACCACAAGTCATGAAGTTCGCATTCGAAAAGTTACCACGATTAATAGTGGAAGCCGAATGAGGGGGTGCATCCTAATAAAAGGTTGGTGCCGAAACATTCTTTTATCCTTTACCGTTTTCAGCAACTCTGTGGGAGGATATTCAATCGTACAGGTACCTGAAAATGACTTTATTGTGAAGGTTCAATCCACACAAGCAACACCTCGAACCCCGTCATCAACTGCCTGATCAAATGCAAATGTTGGATGTTTAAAATAATCAGAATCATAAACTCGTCATATGCCGCTAGAACAACTGTGGTGAAAAGTCTTCTCCCTCTATATGTAAGTGAACAAGCCTACTGGAAACCTCTGGAAACAGAAATTTGGCCGTAGCAGGCATGTTCTGCCATCTCAACGATTCGTGAGGGAAGTGGCCCCTACGGTTTACAGGACAGACGAGCAACTTGGTTAGGGAAATCAGCAACTATTAAAAGGGTAGAGGTGAACCTTACATTGTACCGTTTTCGTCAAATGATTAGCAGCTAGTCAAGTCCTGATAGACATCAACAAGGAAAAATATACAATAAGCTCCTTTTAGTTCAACACATTCAAAATGATTTTGTAATTCCAGTTTTTTTTTTTTGGTTTTTTTTTTCAAAGGGCTAGTGCATCCGTAAGTGCTCAACACTCTTGCTCATCATGTTGAGCTTCGGCCGAGAGATGGCTTACTGTCACACCGTCACGGAAGTTGGCGAAAGTTGTCTTGGATAGGATATGTGACTCTAAATTCATTGGAGCCGTTCGTTTCAAATATGTAACAGCTTGCTGCAGCGAATAAACAACATGGAGTAAAATCAGTATCTGACGTAGACCACTTGTGTATCTCAAATCAGTTAGTGCTCGGTTCGAGGTGAGTTTGTCGTGATACAGTTAAGTCCAATCTAGATTAGGAACAACAAATAAAACCCTTCCATTGTCTTGTTAGAATCTGACCCTGTTCGCTGAAATTGAAAATGAAAGATATCCAACTGGCATACTGCTTGCTTACTTAGCGCATATTGCTCTTTGCTCCGTCGTGGGACGATTATAACGGATTAAAATTACTGCTTCACACCTTTAACTATTTCAAAGATCTTCATAAGTTCATAGCACACACCACACTTGTGGGATCTTTGGTCATTTTTAGAAAGGACGAAGTCCATGCAGTACAAGTATGCAGGTACAACATACTCGGGCTTTCTGAAATCAAGTATAGCTTGACCTAAATTGATTAGGCTGCTTATGTGTGATGTATAGCCTTTTCTGCATTGATTGTTGCCTTTGCTGCACTATTAACACAGGACTAACTTAAGTTTTTCGTACATCAAGACGGAGAGTGTCTGTCAGATTGGATATTATAAAAAGGAATCAAGACTCATATCCTCGCATCTTCCAAGAGGTGCTATTAGAAGTAAGGTCCTCAGTGACAAAAAAACAGTGATATGGGCTGATCACAAGTTCGACCGCCCNGGGCTAGTGCATCCGTAAGTGCTCAACACTCTTGCTCATCATGTTGAGCTTCGGCCGAGAGATGGCTTACTGTCACACCGTCACGGAAGTTGGCGAAAGTTGTCTTGGATAGGATATGTGACTCTAAATTCATTGGAGCCGTTCGTTTCAAATATGTAACAGCTTGCTGCAGCGAATAAACAACATGGAGTAAAATCAGTATCTGACGTAGACCACTTGTGTATCTCAAATCAGTTAGTGCTCGGTTCGAGGTGAGTTTGTCGTGATACAGTTAAGTCCAATCTAGATTAGGAACAACAAATAAAACCCTTCCATTGTCTTGTTAGAATCTGACC